CACTCCGAGGGTCTAGGACGTTCCAATTGACAAAGCTAGCCGCCCAGAGCCGCCGTTCTATAGTAGCTTTACCAAAGCATCAAGGTAGCAGTAGCATCATCTCTGTATTAGTCCCCACCATTCCATCACCAGCTCTTCAGCTTGCTCACTCAGGTACCCGCATCACGCCCTCTCATAGGCCGAGAAGATTTGTCAAAAGCAACGCAGCGCGAAAAACCCCCGGTCGCATAACCCCAAAACGAGGCAGTTTGTAATTTGTACGCGGACGTACATATATGTAACTTGTTCAGGGTACCCGGCGGCCCCTTGGCGGCAAAGATGACGCCAGAGCTGTCGCACTTTCCGCCAGCAAAGAGCCGTATCCGCTGTGTGGTTGTCTTTTTGCCCCACTATTCCCATCTCGAGAGGGCTATACGCAAGAAGCTTCGAGGTAAGGGGTTTTCGGCCGGCCAAAGCAAGCAAAAGCGGGTGAAGCGGGCAAGGTTTGCCCCTCCTTTGCTTGGGTCCCGCACCCTTCCTGGCCAGCTAGTACTTAAGTTAGATAAAGCTCCTTGGGTTTCTTGCTCGGAGTTTTCTTTTACTTGTAATTGATTGAATCGATATATACAAAGCTTTCTTCACACTTTGGACTACCTTTCTCTCACACCTTTTACACTTTCACGTTTCACATACAACAATTGCAAAGATGGCTCCTCTCAAGGTTGGCGACAAGCTCCCCGAGGGCGTCAAGTTCGAGTATGTGCTTCCCTTCGTCTAGTACTCTCAAATGGGCACTCGGTGCTTGCTTGCTTCACAAGATAGATACTGATCTTCTCTACAGATGGGCCCCCATCACCGACAGCGACCCCACTGCATGCGGTCGTCCTCAAGAATACGACGCAAGCAAGGAGTGGGCTGACAAGAAAGTCGTCGTCTTCTCCGTTCCCGGTGCCTTCACTCCCGGCTGCCAGGCGTATCACCTACCACCCTACATTGCCAAGGCCAAGGAGTTCAAGGACAAGGGCGTCGACATCATCGCGACGATTGCGTCCAACGATGCGTGGGTCATGAATGCGTGGGGCAAGGTCAACGGCGTCAAGGGCGACGAGGTCCTGTTTTTGAGTGACACCAAGACCTTTTTCAGCAAGAACTACGGTTGGGATGCTGGCATGGGTGACCGCAACGGTCGCTGGGCTATGGTTTTCGACCATGGCAAGGTCATCTATGCTGAGAACGAGAAGAGCCCTGGTGAGGTTTCGGTAAGTTGCTCTGCATCCGGATTGATTCGGATTATGCAAGTCTAACAATGTGCAGGTCTCTGGTGCTGATGCCGTCCTTGCCAAGTTGTAAGCATTGACAGTGAGTAGCAAGCGTCTCGAGAAGTCGCTGCAAAATTACGATACACCTAGTCAACGTCGTAGAGACGAATGAATGAAATGAAGAACAAATCACCATGTCAATTCCAATGCGTATGTGATGCCCGGCTCGGACCGCGGAGCCTATTAGACCATATTGTGTAGACATATTCGAAACGTCGCTGTGCACGTCATGTGCGGCAAGGTGATTCAAGTTCGTGTTTGTATTCATTGCTGGTCGAATGCTCAGCTTGGATCCCAACTTTTCCATGCCCACGCTTGCTTGCAAGCCAACGAATTGGGCCCTCGACCATAGTCCGTCTCGCATGGCTGCTTCTGTTCCAATATCCGTAATGACGTGATATATACAAACGCCATCCTGGCACGCTCAATCAAACTAGTTGTGTTGTTAGCCAAGAGTTCGTGATCGACAGCGGGGCAAGACGTACAGGAGTAAGGAAAGATTCGGCAACGAAACGTGCTCGTGCGTTCAACTGGGCAATGTTAGCTCATGCCACCCATAGATTGTCAGCGGTGCCTTACGAAGAGCTTCATTTCAGAAATCTCCTTGTCGACCTCCTCCATGAACTGGATAATAAAGTCAACCAGCTTGTGCTTCAGCATCTCCTCAGTGTGAGCGTTGGTGATCAGGAACGAGATGTCGTAGCCCTTGACTGGCTTCCTCCGCAAAATGTAAAACGACTCGGCTCTTTGGGTCAAGAACCGTGTGAACTTGTGGACCAGAATGTGCTCAATTTCATCTGCCTGCTTGATCTTGATGCTTATTCGCACACTGTTGATACTGGGCTCAATGTATACGCGCTCATTCTCGTTTCTCGATACGGTGAGGGGGTTTAGGATGACCTCGGGGGAGCTTGCAGCCTCAATCTCAGGAACATTGTGACGCTCCGAGGCTTGCGAGGCAAAGTTGGAGAGGGAGAGGGCGGCCGTGAGGGACGAGCGCACGCACTGGAGGTATGGGCGGAGGGATTGGGACTGGCGGACGTTAGCAATGCCCAAGTAGTCGGGCAGCAGAGGAACTCATAAAGACATACCATTGTGAGGCGAGCTCGGCACCAGCTCTGTGTTCAGATGTCAGGACTGCAGTCAAGGGAAGAAGGCGGGCTATGACATGCCAGCACTGGGGAGTTGGCGCTGCCTGCAGGTGGTTGTTAGTGGGGCTGGAGCTCCGGGCGGCGGCTGAGCTTGGCGCGGCACCTCTTCCTCATGATTCGGCCGTCGACCATTACATGTCGCCCCACGATTGCATTATAAGTCTTTCTTTCGCCTCCGCCCCCAAGACCCCATACACATTCTTTGCACAGTAGTCGAGTAGACATCATGGCGTCTATACCAGGTATGTGGTGATATACCGTCACTTTTGGATCGTTTGCGTACTGACTTGAATGTTTGTAGTAATCGTAAAACATCAGGGCAAGAAGCACGAGGTCGAAGTGGATACCACATCCAACGGCGAAACATTCAAGTACCAGCTATTCTCTATCACCGGAGTTGAGCCAGAGCGCCAGAAAGTCATTGTCAAGGGTGGACAGCTCAAAGATGACACCGATATGTCCAAACTGGGCCTCAAGCCCGGCCAGACTCTGATGATGATGGGAACGCCTTCGGGCACCGGAGTCGTCATTGAGAAGCCCAAGGTCCCCACCAAGTTCTTGGAGGACATGGACGAGGCAGAAGCCGCGCAGCTCGAAGGCGCCACACCTGCCGGTCTTCAAAACTTGGGCAACACTTGTTATATGAACTCTACACTACAGACGCTCCGGTCCATCCCAGAACTTCAGGAAGAGCTTCTGCGGTATTCCGCAAGGTATGGATTCCCCCCGAATACTTGTTTGCGCTATACTGATTACATACAGCAATGACGCCGGTTCATCCAGCTCCGCGCAGCAACTCAGCCAGTTCGGCCTCGGTGGTCTCGGTGCCTCGACTGACCTCACGAGCTCCCTCCGCGATCTGTTCAAGCAAATGTCCGAGACACAGCAAGGGTTCCCTCCGCTCATGTTCCTCAACGCGCTCAGAACGGCCTTCCCCCAGTTCGCACAAAAAGCAAAAGATGGTCATGGCTACGCACAGCAGGATGCCGAAGAAGCTTGGTCACAGATAGTATCGCAACTACGACAAAAGCTCAAGGTCGCCGAAAAGGATGCGTCAGGTGCGGATAAGCAGACCATGTCTTGGATTGACAAGTATATGTCGGGAAGGTTCGAGTCGGTCATGGAGTGCGACGAGCCTGCAGCAAAAGAGGGTGGCGAGGAGGCAGTTCACAGCGAGGATCTATTCTTCAAGCTCAACTGCCACATCAATGTCGAGACGAACCATCTCCGAGATGGCCTCGCCGCTGGTCTGAAAGAGAAGATTGAGAAGCGATCAGAAGTTCTAGGACGAAATGCCATGTACACGAAGACTTCCAAGATTGCACGCCTGCCCAAGCACCTTCCAGTCCACTTTGTACGCTTTGACTGGCGACGAGACACCAACAAGAAGGCAAAGATCATGCGCAAGGTCACCTTCCCAGAAGAGCTGGACGCATTAGAGTTCTGTACCGACGAATTGAGGAAGGCTCTTGTTCCCATACGTGATAAGATTCGCGATGTCCGCAAGGAGGAGGAGGATCTCGAGCGCGCCCGCAAGCGACAAAAGCGTATGAAGGCTGGTGAAGAGAACGACACTGAACCCACCGCCTCTAAGGAACCTCTGCAGAAGAAGAAGGAGGCCGCAGAAAAGAAGGAGGAAGCCAGCAAGCCTGAGGATGCTAAGATGGAGGATGTCGAGTACAAGACCGATGCTCAAGTCGAAGCCGAGCGTATCGCATCGATCGTGGCTGCCAAGAAGGAGCTCCTCGCACTTGTGGATCCCAAAATGGCCGCTGATGAAGGGGCCAACCAGACGGGTCTCTACGAGTTGAGAGGTGTCATCACCCACCAGGGCGCCAGTGCTGACAGTGGTCACTACACATCCTTTGTTAAGAAGCAGGGAGTCAAGGATCCAGTCACTGGAAAGCGAAAGGAGGAAGACGGCAAGTGGTGGTGGTTCAATGACGAGAAGGTTTCCGAAGTTGATTCTGAAAGAATACAAACTCTCTCTGGTGGAGGTAAGTGTTTCCGCCATTTGGTATGATCCGTGACTGACATTGGCATAGGACAAAGCCATTCGGCTCTTATCCTCCTCTACCGCGCGGTCCCCCTGCCAGTCATTGAGGAGGATGTGCAGATGGGTGACGCATAGAATCAATCAACGACTGACTCCATAGATGGCGTTTAGGATGCCATTGTCGCTATATGGCAAAGTAGAAGCGTGGGCTAAGCGAAGGACGACGCATGACACTGGCGTTGGCCTAGCTGAAAGCGCTATGAGAGATACTCTTTGAACTATGAGTAATGAGGGCACGACTTCTAGACTTGCATTAATAGATATTGTCCGATCGTTCTTGTTTATGCCCTCGCGTCCAATTCACTCCGCGTCGTAAAAACGCGTCGAGACGTGTTGCCAAGCTTCATGACGCCCGCATCCAGCACTTCTGTGTTCTTTCCGCGACAATCTCCTAGGCCTTCTTTCAAGCCTTCCTATCTGCAGTTTACCTTTTCCTTCTTTACTGTATCATACTATCGCCGCAGTCTTTTGTTTCATGTCTTAACCGCCACCATCATGTTTTACAGTCACGAAAGTAGGCTTCCTTGCAGGACTCTAGCCCAGAGACTCAACTGACTTTTATAGTTCTTACGTCACGTAAATATGGTGTGGCGACTGTGTGGTTAGTCATGATAGCTGTCAGTTACTCCTTCCCTCGACTGACAGAAACGGCAGGCTCGTTGCAACCCTAGGTGCCAAATCAAGCCTGAAGCGCATCAACCGCAAGCAAATTCTCGACGTCGATGTATCCAAAGCATGCCAAACCATCATCGATCCAGTAGCTCCTCTGGCTTTACGTTTACAGGGAAACTTGTTGTAAGTCACTCTGCTCACCAGGCAGCATACGCAGCACTGTTAACACGTGCAGATATGGACTATCGCGAGTGTATCTACAGCAGTGCGGATATATTCTTTCTGACGCACAGAATGCTCAACTTGCTCTGAGAATGGCCTTACGGACAGTTCAAAATACCGAGCTTGATCCAACTGCCGGCAAAGCCAAGTAGGATATCATCATCCACCCCTTTCCGGAACAGTCAGTTAATAGATATACTTTAGTCCAGAGCAACTCATGCTACAAGATGATCCCTCGTTCCTCCCCGATTTTGCTCCTCCTCCACCAGAACTACTCACTGATCTAGACTGCAACTTCAACCTCGACATAACACACTCCGGCGAGTCACAGTCTTTGACACCGTTTGGCTCTCAGCTATATTCATCTTCTCCTCATGTTGGGACTGCAGGTGGTCTTGTTCTCCCTACTTCTTCCCCTGTAACTCCAGGCGGCTTTAGATTCGAAGGCGACTATGGAACAGGCAGCATTGGTGACCACAGTGCCATGCTTGGAGCCGGCGACACAATCGAAATCGGAGACCCAGATTTTGAATTTGGGGATGATGGCGAGATCATTCAGCTGTCGCCAAGTACTGTGTCGCTCAGAACCCCGGCCACGCCTGCACGTGCGCCCAGGTCTGGGGATGCTGGTCAGAATGATAAGGTGAGAAAGGAACCTCTACAGGGACAACAGGCTCTTGATCAGGTGAGTTATTTAGTGATCATTTATATTTCTCTGCACTGTCTAGTCAGTCGTTTCTTTCACCTGGGTTGTGGTTGTGGCTTTGCGACAAGTCGTCCACGTTCCCAGGACATTCAGCTCGTTGACGCAAATACTTCACCTGACCTGTGGAAGCATGCCCCAAATACTGCCTTCTTATTCTCTTTCCTCTCATTTGTCTCATTGTTTACTTGTCTTACTTTCTATGTCTACATACAACCCAAAACACATACCATGGATGCTAATATATATCAGTTGCCAGACGATGAGATGCATATTGCGCTTCCCGGCGAAGAAGACGTTCTTCCCGAAGGCGGCAATTATTTCTCAAGTGGCGCGCTACAGTCTCAAGAGTCTTTAGAAGTGGTAGAATCATCGGAAACCTTGACCGCTCCCATGCGCCGACGTCGAGTTCCACGCGCCATTCCTGCAGATACAGCAACGGAACTTCGTAATAAGGACCTGATAGACTGGGGCGCGAACTATCTCAAGAACATGAAGGCTGCCACTCAACAGAAGATTCATAATCGTGCTCTAACACAAGCAAAGAAAAATGCTGAGCATTATGTATGGGGGTCTGGACTAGGTGGTATTGGCCATCGTATTCCTAGACGCGAAGGTTATAGTCCATTCGAAATGTTCATGGGTGACAAACTCTTCGAGACTATCACTGGCATGAGTCGCAAAGTAACCGGACGAAAGCATGATCGCGATAGCGGCATTGACGATGCTACGCAAGAACAGGCCCGTCGTGTACGCCAGAAGAGTGGTGAGCCTGAAGCTGCTCGAGCTGCCGATGACGAAGGATTCTCTATGCCTCTCGGAGACGACGAAGCTGCAGTTGAACTGCCTCGTGAAGCAGCCCCTGCTCTCGATGATCAACACATCTTTTCTGCAATGCCATGGAACATGAGTGCTTCTGCTAGAAGTTCGTCAGCCATTCCTCGCAGTAGGCGTATCGGCATGACTGGCTCAGCCGATCACAGAAGACATGGAAGTCGCCTGGTATCCGCCTCTCCACTGCATGGACGAGGTCAGTCTATTCCGTTTGATTTGAATAATCTCACAAGCGACGCAGATTTTGCGGGCGATGGATTTGGACTTCCAGGACTCAGCTCCGATTTTCCTGAGGTAGCAGCTCTTCCAAATACCGACTCACAGCTACCTAAAGTACTTTCCATCGAAGGCGAAAACTTCATCACCTACATACGCGAGAAGATGAAAGAGAAGCGAGATCGCGAGCAGATAGAGACAGGCGTTGCGACCGATGCTGAGGAAATTACCTTTGAAGAGCTACTTCCGCCTGCGGAGAATACAAAAATGGTTGCTTGCCACGGTCTCATGATGGTTCTCACATTAGGCACAAGAGATATGCTCGACATACAGCAGTCAGAGCACCTCGGTGACATCCATCTTCGCTTGTCTGAGAAAGCCAGGGTGCTAGAAATCATTGAGATTAGCGATGGCGAAGAGTCTGATAGGGACATGGAAGAGGAAGAAGATGAGGAGTTGGAAGTACCCATCATGACGGACCCGCGATACATGGCTGATGAAATTGGAGAAGGTGAGGAAATGGCAGGCCCATCGCCTGTCGAGGACGAAGGACATTTCCAGGAACAGTTTGCTGCTGGACATGCTGCCCAGGTAGAAGATGATCACGAGTCTCTCTATGATGATTGATGGGCTAGGGGTGCATGTCATTTGAATATGCAGTGTGCTATTCATTTCCACAACATGTTTTCGCGCCACACAGGATGAGACTTTTCCAACAGTCATGTGCTAATGATTGGGTGACATGGCTGGTCTTACGAATATAACGAGCTGGAGTGATGTGCTGGGAACAAAAGGAACGGGATCTTATGTAATAATAAAAGTTCGGGTTATACATAAGTCCATTCACCCATCTCTCGCTTCCTCATTTACGTGTTCTGGTCTTGAGTTGCGTATCTCGCGACGCGATCTACTTCTAACTCTTTCGCCTTTTGTGCAGAAAATATACATTTTCTCGACCTTTCACATACACAAAATCATCTTTTGAACTCTAGACATGAAGTATCGATGGAACTTTTTTCACGGCGAGTAGCGCAGTTATTCTTCTAACTCTTGTGGGTGAACAAGATGATTGTTTTCCTTCATCACAATCATATGTATCTGTATTTTGATACGTGTTGTAGAATCCCGAGGGAGTTTCTTCGGCGTTCAACGTCGAAAACTTGCTAGCTGTAGTATTGGAAAGCGAAATACAAGCTTTCTTGGTAACACGACGGTGGAAAAAAAAGTCTTAGATTCTTTGTTGTTGTTTTTCCTTTCATGGAGCATTTCGTCGTCTTTTCGCAGCTCTTGGACTGATGCGACCTGAAATGATCCTGGCGTCGTAATTGCCCATCGTATCTTGCTATAGATCGATATCATATCCGTGACGCGTGTGACTTCTGAGCACCTCTATAGTTTTCGGCCTGGCTGTCCTCAGTGCCCATGAAAGCGGCGTATTTGCATTATAGTCTTCCAGGTTTGGATCCGTGTGTGGTATTAGGAGTAGCTCTTTAACTATGTGGTACAAATCTAACGATGCTGCCCATGAGAGAGGAGTCCGTCCATTGTTGTCTCGTGCGTTGACCTTCACGCCGGGTGTCCTAAGTAACAGCTGCACCATACTAATATTGCCTCTTATTACTGCCCATAAAAGGGGAGTCCGTTGTTCGGGGTCTTTTGAGTTGATTTCGATGCTTGGTATTTTGAGCAGTAGCTTAGCCATTTCGTAGCCAGTGTCAGACGTATAATTCGCCAATCTTGAAATTGGGCTTCTTCCGTTAGCGTCCCTTACGTTGACGTCAACCTGAGCCGTCTTTTGCACAGCTAACGCCAAAGGCATTCTTGTCACCCACAATAGGGGCGTTAACCGCTTTCTATCCTTTATATCGACTTCAATACCATGTACTTTTAACAGTAGTTGAGCCATTGCCAAATTGCCAGATCTTACCGCTACGAAAAATGGCGTTGAGCCATCCTGGTCTGGTAGGTTGACCTTCGCTTTACCCGTTTCGAGTAGAAGTCGGACCACTGCTCTGTGTCCATTCCGTACTGCCCACCACAGTGGCGTCCGCCCATGTACATATTGAGAACTGATATCGATGCCTGTATGATTTAGTAACATCTTGACAATATTCTCTTTTCCATTACTTGCAGCGTGAGTCAGAGCTGTGTAATTACTGTAGTCTTCTTCATTCACTTCGATGTCTCCTCTTGTCAAAAGCAGCCACACATCGTCCTCGGTCCCTATTTTGACTGCCTCAATCAATGACTTAGGACTTTCAGCCATTTTTTCTTCTCTTGGTAGTTTTCCAGAAGCGACTGTAACGGATGTAGTACGCACAGGCTCCCCATAGAGCCGGCCTTTTCGTCTCGATTCCACCCGCGATTTTTGGATGCACAATCTTCTGACCGGATACCGTGATGACACGAAATCTCCAAAATCTGTCTGTGCAAATTCCTCGGTCTTGACTCTCCTCAAGTGCCTCATTGTCAAGGTCGTATCTCTCAGAAAAATGGAAATCCGCTCATCTCCGCTTCCTTTTTCATGGCAATCGAGTTTTGCACAGCCAAGCTTGTCGTGACCAATACCCATAAATCGGACGTTAAGGTGAACTCCCTTTCCGCTCAATATGACTGGATCATAGGAGCTATCTAAGGCAAGGCATTGTACAATGTTTCCGGATTTGCGAAACGAGGCTGGAGAAGTAGCTAGGCAACCACCACGATCATCGGTTGATCGCCACGCAAAAATACTATGATCGTCCGATATCTTCAGGATTTCCTCCTGGAGTCTGATGAAAGCATTTTCTCCCTCTCCATATATTAAAGGCATGTTAATGTTGAATATGCCTAACAGACAATATGCTATGTCTTCTATCCTTGTCGTTTTTCTTTCTGCAGCCCATGACATTCTTTGTGCAACGCTGAAAGTTTCGACAGGTTCTGCTTGTGAGAGCACACTGACAGAAATCCGGGTACATTCGGATATCTCTTCTCCTAGGCCTGCTCTATTCCCCAGAATAGACCAGCTCTTGTCGAAGAATATCACTTCCTCTGGTGCCAACAATTCCTGGAGCGTCCACCCTCTAGTAAACCATTTGCTTGTTGAAAAACTATCCTCGGGGCCTATATCAGCTAGATACGCATAACATACGCCCGCTGACTGATACCAGGAGTACATTGAGTTTATTGCTTCCGAAAGTTCTGCGCTGCTTGTCTTGTCGATACAGCACGTGTCGACCCAAAAGTATTGAAAGCCTTCCTGAGCGGCTTGTCGTCCGCATAGGATAAGTTTACGGTAGCCGACCTTCTCTTTACCTCTTCCGTCCAGAAGATCTTGGTAAGTTACTTCTTCATTGGAGGGGCCCCAGGTATGCGAAAGAATGGCGTAAGGTGGGAGATCATCAGGCAACCGCTCAACAAGGCTGAGCTCGTCACAGCCACGAATCTGCAGGAGTCGCATGAAGATATGTTCAGGCGGCGATCTAAACAAAAGAGAAATGATATGGGGGCAGTAATTCCAGGATGAGTCGGTGAAAAAGACTTGGCGATTGGAATGCGGAGTGTGGATGGCGAACGTTGATGCAGGTTGTAGCCGAAGGCTGGCTGCCAAGACCTTCGCTACGTAAAGCACGGGGCAGCATATTCAGCCTCATCAGCCTGACCAGAAGTAAAAGGTTCCACGAGTGCTATAAGACCAGATGCTATTCTACGAGGTGCTAGGCTGGAATCTAATGTAATCTTCCGACTTTGTGTTCCAGCTGCAGTCTTGAAGAACAAGGGAAGGCTGAGATCACCATGTTTTACAGGAGTACGGAATGGCAACTTACCTCCACGACGATATATCATATATCAATCAACTCGTTTATTTTATAAGTTCAAGGAAGAATATTGGCTATCAAAACATCCGTAAATAGTGTTTGCTGTTCGGCGTTTTGTATAATACCTACCTGGCATCATTGCCGGTATATTCGGCCGCTTACTATGCGCCAGGCTTACTGGCCAAAATCATGTCTTACATGGTCTGAAATTCATAGCAAAACGTCAGACAAACGCATTGCTAAGAGCAGATAGGACCTTTAACGTCGCATCAGTGATACCTGTCGCAAGCGAATGACTATTCTTGTCCCGAAACATCGTCAGTGCAAAGAGTAGGCAGGTAGATATCGCTGATAAATTAGAGCTCACAAAACTTCTTACAAAGAACTCCAATGGCATTGTTTCAAACGTTGCATTTGGCTTCTTGTGTGGACCAGTTTCCTTTTTGTTAAACGGGCTGGACCTTAGAACAATCCTCCAAGCTCCCGCGCACCTGCAAAATCCCCCCGATGGCCAATCGTTCCCGAATACCGTGGGGCTGCAAGCCCTCGAAAAGGAAGTTGTTGATATTCGCACCAACTGGCCTCTTCTGCAAGCCCCAGTGTGTCTCGCCCAGAGTAGTAGGAGCCTTTCCAGATATGTTGTTTGCCAACAAGGGCGTCACTATTTTCAACTCATGATTTCCGGTTGAATAAGCAACTTGCATCTGGTTGTTGTCAAAGTCGAGGTACAGCCCAAAGTTGTGCCAGATGTCTGAATCGAAGGGCGCCATGAAATATGTTTGGACTTTCTTGGCCCATTTCCAGCCCTGAAGATAGATGACGCTGCCGGTCTTCAACATCGAACTGGTGACATCGGGGTGTATGAATCCAATATTCTCGCCATATGCTGCCAGGTCATCACCTCCACCTGTGTAGTTCGGCCCACGAAGAGTTTCCTGCATCGGTAGTCCGACTTTAAGAGACCAGAAATCTGCCTGGAAGTCCTGGGCTTCATGGAAAGCGAGAAGATACTCGTGTGAGAGATTAAGAGCATATGGTGAAGTTCGCATAGAGAAAAGCCATGTGACTTTGCCAGAGACAGTCTGGTTTTTTCCATTCACGAGTAGCTCAGCTCGGCGGAGTGCGGTCTCGCGGCCTTCGGAGGACGATGCGAAGACGGACCGGTCACTATATATACGTTATCAAGCGGTAGTTACGATAGTAACAGGTGAGGTGATTTACGTTATCTCTACCTCGATGGGTTTTGTTCCAGCTACTTGATCAAATATCGATGGCTCCACGTCGGGAAATGATATTACTTCCCTCCATGTCTGGTCTGAGAGAGTTGAACATGTTAGTGGGCACAAACCATAGTAGCTCAGATATCTTACTCTGCCCTAGAACATATTTAGGATTGAAAGGACTCTTCGCAGTTTCGAATGTGTCTCCGGTGAAATTCTGGGGAATTCGACCGTCAAAAGTCAAGGGGCAACTTAGGGCATCAAGCGGGAGGGACAGGGCAGAAGGAAGCCCAGTCAGAAGTCCTGCGAAACAGGACTGGATAAGCTTCATCTTGGAGACATATACTCGCGATCAAAGGTGAACCACCATAAAATACAATAGGAATCTTGAAGTGCGATAGCATTCGTATGCTTCCATGTCGTTATATATGCATGAGCGTCGGACTTAACATAGTTTTGTTGAGCTTGCATCCTTGAAATGACGGGAATGATGCGGGGATTCCATTTTCCATTTCGGACCGACGGCTCGCTCGCCAGATTGGCCGTAATTTGCCGATGTTTCATGAAGCAATGCATGCATAAAGAGTTCCCGTACTGACTGATGTTGTGGCTGGTAAAGATACTTGATCGTGCACGATGTGGGGGGACTAGATACCTGCTTGAGGAAGATTTACAACAGGTCCTGCTCATACAGAGTTAGATAGAGAGGATTCTATATCATGTTAAAGAAATAATCCGACTTAGTAGTAGTGATAAGTATAAGGAGGGGTGGCGGGACAGATCAGCATAAGCTTCGCTAGTATTTCGGTAGTAATACAGTGTATCCCTGTTAGCAATAACTTTTGGGAGCCACCTCTGTACTATTCTAATACATTTACTAATACGTATAGGTTGGAAATGCCCCACACGCTGCACTGTGTTTGCCAGTGTCGTCGACAGACTCATTAAATATGCACTTCCTCGCCCCGCATTTCGGCAGCGCGCTACTAGCAAGAGAATCAAGCCGTCCATCATCGTCACGACAATGATCAGATCTAACAGTGTGTTCTATTGGAAGAAGAACACCATTTCTACCTGACGACCAGAAGTGCCACCTACGCGATGCACCATACCTCCATCAGCCCTATTTTTATTGTTGTTCTTCCCTTCATGTTACGACCGAGAGTCTAGAGGATGCAAAACTCCTTATACTCCAATCACAGCCTATGGGCAAGGCAAAGCTGAGCTGATAATGTCGAGACGGCCATGCTCAATTGATGTTTGGGAAGTTAAATTAATCGTTCCAAATACAAATTCCATGAGCCCTCTCGACGTTTAGGGGACGACACTGAAGGGACGATTGCGCAAAGATGATTGAAACAAAGACACTTCGAGTTCATAGAGGTGGCTAGTTAGAGCGGCTATCATATCACTGACAGACGAACTCTATCGGGCCTAACAGGCCTACTACGTATTGCGCCTTGTTACGTCCGCGGAGAAGAACGCTAGCGCGATTACCATGGGTAACATGCAACACAGTGCTTAGCTCCGATAGATACAAGTCGACTAGTCTCGGCGAACCCTACATAACACTTCTTTCATCTATACTAAGACTGTGCACAACAATGGTCGATATTTCATAGGAACTCCTAGATGTGAGCTTTGGTTGCAAGGGAAGAAAAATAGGTCTTTTAGGTTCAGAACTTGCGATATAACACTTTCAGTTAGTGCAGCTGAAATACTCAGTGCTGCCGACTGTCGATACTACTGTTCCTTTACCCGCTGAATGTGGGTGATAGACTAGCGTCAACCAGGGTTAGCTCCTTCCCAGATAAGTCCCACTCTAACCTAGTCACCTCCAGACCTATATTCTACGTCACACAAACATGAATTGATCTCATCAGCATGAAAACCAAAAGCACGACTGGCCTGATCAATAGGCGCACTAAAAAAGCCGTCGCGCCTCAGTCCGTTGTGAAAGACGAAAACAATAGCGACATTGTCGCGCAGAATGAGGAAGATGATTCGAGCACTTACAAGCCGCGACCACAACTGCCGCACCCGAACGTTCACATGCGAAACATGGCGAGTCTGATAAGTAAGAGAAGAGCTTAGAGAGGCTTTACTAGGGGGTGCTGATAAAGACTAGAGGAGCTCGAAGATGGCACCATCGATGTTGACCCGGAATATCAGCGGGAGGTTGTTTGGACAGGTAAGGATAACACGAGTCGACTGCTATTGCGATTCTACTAACTCTATTCAGCGGATCGCATGACTGGCTTGATAAACTCGTTGATGGGTAATTCACACCTCTCCTATGTCCCTTCCATCTAGTCTGGCTAACCCTGCAGAAAACTACTACATCCCTCCGATCATTCTGAACAAAAAGACGGATCGTATCTCAAGCACTGGACAAACACATGCCACCTTTGTGTGTGTCGATGGGAAGCAGCGTCTGTCTTCTGTGAGAGCTTTTGCGAAAGGAATGATTCCTTGCCATGACCACCAGGGAGAGAAATGGTGAGTTTCTTTGAGATCTGTCACCACTTAGGCATGCTCACCAACATTGCAAGGTGGTTTTGCGAGGCTCCAGGCACTAAGCGCAAACGCTTACTCCCGCTAAAGACCCAGAAATTCTTTCTAGAGAAAGACTTTGTTACCTTCCAGTTCGCAGAGTTGACCCAGGAGCAAGAGGAGGACTTGTTTGCCAGAGTTCAGATGGGTGTCCAGCTTAGTGCAGCCGAGAAGATACGAGCAAAATCGGGACCATGGCAGGAACTAGCAAAGCTCTTCGTACAAGATTTCCCCGTCATCTACGAGTTGATGAAAGACCGAAGTCGCGCAAAGGATTTCCAAATCACCATGGCCTGTTTTAGTCAGATTATTGAAGTCAGGAGTTCACGTGCAACAAATGGAAGCGGAATTCCAGTCTTCGAGGCAGCCTACAACGCAGTCCCTAAACTGCTAGATAATTCGTCATCAGTCACTGATGCTACAAAATCTCATCTTGCAGCCGTCTGGAAAACCTTTAGCGAGCTTGTAGAGCTGGATCCCGATATCTTCACTAACGCGAATAAATATCTGCGCGGTGTTCAAACTTTTGCACTTATAGAGATGGTTGGTGTTACTGTCCTGATTTCTATGTACTTAGAAGTGGGTCACGAAGTTCTTTTAAGAGATATCAGGATACTCCGCGAAACGCTTCGCGAGTCCTTCTCAGATCTTCGCCTTAATCGTCAGGTCTGGAAATCCATATGGGAGATCATTGACGGCTTGCAAGCGATTCGCGGTGGTGTGGAAGACGACATTACAGAAAAACCGACCCCGTCTACAGTGTTGGGCTCGGCATCAAATATTCAGTCTTCCATCTCAGCGAAAGTATTACTAGACGGTTTCAAGAAGAGGGCTGCGCCTGAGACCCTCTCGAACGCTACATCGTCACCACAAAATTCGGCTATTGAAGCCGAATCTTCAAACATGCCGCCAATGAAACGACGTCGCAAGGGCTCGAAGCCAGCAGATGCGATCGTTTCGAACAATCTTCCAAGTAACAATGTCATGCCGCAAACAATGGAGAGTTTTCCACCTTACCCATCCCAAATGGCTCCAGCGCGTTCCGAAGATCACGGTGCTTTTACACCTAGTCATACAAAGAAAGAGATAAAGGGCGTCATTGTGCCTGTGTCTCCACAGTTGCCTGTTATAGCTGGCCTTGATGCACCAGCGTTATCACGACAAGTAGCTCCTTCATCACTGGACTCATCTGCTCCCCGGGTACGTGCAAAACCCAACACCAAAAGACGCATGCCTGTTTCTCGCCCGACGAAAGAACAAATGAGTGAAACGATTGACCTCACTGGTGATACCTAATAAAGAGACACTATTCATACTCATGATACCAGGATCAGATACCAAAGGCGGACTGGAGGCGGGGAATAACATTCTTCTGAGCTTGGCTCGAGGTGGGGGCTATTTGGGGGGCTGAGATGATGTATTATTGAGGTATGGCAATTTATGATATGATCTGTATCAATACTCTGGAACCAAACAAAAATGCTATATGACTTAAAGACTGAACAGTACCTCGTATCTTCGAAGCAACAATAATCCCTTTTTCAATACGTAATCAATGTGCTGAAGCATTGCCCAGAACGCCCACATGCATATCAGCAGCGTGGTAAGCACTGATTGGGGCAGTCGATTCTTTCACGACTTCCGAGTAAACTGCATCGACTTCCGTCAGTATGGCCTTGTACGGTTGTGCATTGGAACCAGAACACGATTGTAGGCGCGTTGCGCTACTATCGAGGCCTTTCGTACCGAAACAGGGTCCTGGATACGACGTCATGGCGCACTCTCAACCTCGGCATGTCGCCAACCCATTGGAGATGAGACGTACTCCTACCATGGGCCTACGACGAGTAGGCTGGGCCAGGGAATACCGCAAAAACTCTAAATTCTAAGGAAACGCCCATTGTAGCGGCGACAGTCGGCGTCTCGGATACACCGGATCCAACAGATCAACACTTTCGCGCTCTTACTGCAGGAAACACATCTACACCACTCCAAGGCCATACGGACACAGCTTCTTCACGCGATACCCATATACCCGTTACGAAGTATCACCATGGGTTTTAATCCCGCGACCGACATTGGGAACCTGGAGGGCAAAGTCATCTTAGTGACTGGTGGTACGTACGCATATACGTTTCCTTCGCAGCCGCTCCCAGCGACACTAATATCTCAACCTCAACCTTCCTAACGCGTCCACACAGGCAATGCTGGCCTAGGCAAGCAAACAATCGCATATCTCGCCGCCCACAACCCCGCATGCATTTACCTCGCCGCCCGCAGCGAGTCCAAAGCCCGCGATGCCATTGCCTCGATCAAATCCTCAGTGCCCAACGCCTGCAACATTGAGTACCTCTCCCTCGACCTAACATCCTTCGCGTCCATCGCCGAAGCAGCCTCTACATTCAAGGCCCGCGAGTCGCGCCTCGACATCCTGATCAACAACGCGGGTATCATGGCGACGCCGTACAGCACGACGAAAGAGGGCTACGAGATCCAGTTTGGCACAAACCACATGGGCCACGCGCTGCTCACCAAGCTGCTGCTGCCCACCATGCTCGAGACGGCCAAGCTGCCAGGCGCCGATGTGCGCATCATCAGCCTGAGCAGCTACGGACACGTCATGCCTGTTTCCCAGGGCATTCTCTTCGACCAGGCTGCGCTGGAGCAGCAGAGCACTGTGCGCCGATATGGCTCGTCGAAGCTTGCGAACCTGGTCTATGCTAAGGCTCTCGCTGAACACTATCCCCAGATCACGTCTGTGTCGCTGCACCCAGGTGTGATTATGACGGATCTGTTCAACACGCTGCGCACCAATATCTTTTTGAAGGTTGGGCTGTGGGTCTATGCGATCATAGGGTTGGTCTTACCGGGTCACTTTAGAGGACCAGAGGGCGGGGCGCTGAATACCACATGGTGTGCGACAGTGCCCAAGGAACAGCTCGAGAATGGGGCGTATTATATACCGGTTGGTAAGAAGGACGGTGGTAGTAAGTATGCGAGGGATGAGGGGTTGAGGAAGAAGCTGTGGGAGTATACAGAGGAGGAGTTGGCGAAGCATGGGTATTGAGAGAGTAAGATGTACAAGTATGTACTCATCGTAATGGGTTGTGGTAGTCGACCTGGATCATCGTTGAAGGGACTTGAACGAATGCAATTTTGTTCTTATGTCAATGTCTTCTCAATCTGCTCGCGAACTCCACCAGAGATGCATTACCAGTCGTGTATCGGTACCTCCTTCTATGTGCTGGAGACCTGCCTCTATATACAAGTAACAGTGAAGCGCTGCAAGAATGCTGTCCGCGCCAAACGCCCGCCCATGTGGTATCGTGAACCTGTCTATAGCTCAACCTCAGCTCTCTTGTAAGCTTCTTTTTCTTCACATCTTCCCTCTAATCTACCCTCTTGAGCTGGCGGTAGACCTTTTTATGTTGTTCCAAGAATAGAAACGTGAGTACAGTATGCGGTCCGACGCGAATGAAACTTGGTACCCAGCCCTTGAACATCCAGCGGAATCCCTCAGCCCTCATCGTATCTGAGACTGTTTTGACAAGGCCTGCATTCTCGCTTGAACTCATGACTTTGGTCTTGATAACATCTACTGGCGAACAGATCGTGGTAGCGACAAAACCTGCCAGAAAAGACGCGGTGAAATGCGTGGTGAGATTGTCCTGAAGAGGTGTGTAGTTCAACAGGACACGCTTGAATCCATCGTAGGTCGCCAGTTGGCCAACAGTCATGAGCACGGCTCTTGAGGAATTGGGCCAAACGCCTTTCCACAGGCTAGCTACGCCTTCTTCTCGCGACATGCGTATGATACCGTCAATAGCATTTTTGTAGCCTCGCCTCTTCTCCTTTGGCAGCGCAGCATCATGTTGCATACGCACGTTCAGGATGTCTCCTGGATTTCCAGCAAAGCCACCAAGAAAGCCTGATACTGAGGCCATACCAACGAGTGTAAGGAACGAAGGTCTGTTATCGGTCGTTGTCATGCGGGCTTTTAGCGATTCGTACACACCGAAGCGTGTCATGCTATATGTGCCTTGACGAAGCTGCGCCGCAGATATCTATAGTCTATTAGAACTTGTCGTCAAGGTTGAGCGGGGAAGGCATACGCCCTTGTAAAGACCCAGTACACCATCAGTTTTCATAACATGAGAAAACATTTGCACCATGTTTAACCGTACGCCATGAGTCGCCTGTGTTTGTAGGCGGACCTAAAAATTGTGAGTAAACAAGAACAGGCGCATGCGACCCTGTGTGACATACCTTTACTATTCCCATTGTTAGCCAGAAACCCCACATATCATACGAAAGAAGATCGCAAAGACTTACCAAGATCCAGCGGGTGGGTGAAGAAAGTCGCAAAACAGCTTGCGCTGCCGCCGAACCAGAAGGGATAATGAATCGGCGTTTTCTTGACAGGCTTTACATCTTCACTTTTGCGCAGTTCGGGTAAAGTCACCCTCTTCGCGGCTTGAGCCATGTTGAATGCGAGACACTGCGCAGCAGCGGCATGTGAATCTGGCCAGGGGTGGGTGAAGTAGAGCGGACAAAGCCGTACAGCAGCCTTATAACAAAGATTTGCTCGTGAAAGTTCGGTGGTTGTTAAGGGACCGAGAAATCAGCATGCGGACGTCATCCCTGCATTCGGATTTAAGCCCGGAGCTGGCTTGGCTTGGCGTCGCGTACGGTTTTGCAGGCTGCACGACTAACCAAGACAATCGCTATACTGCAAAAATGCGAATACCTTTATGCTCGGCTGCGACATGCCGCCAGATATACTCAGGGGTGCCGTTGCGGATATGGAGACCTCAGTTGGCCTCTCGACTTACGCTGCGCAACGTGAGATACAACTCTTCAGGTATGTTCCTATCATGTGAAGAACTATTTTTAGTATGGACTATTGTACTATACGTATGCATGCAATACATTAGCGATGTGGAACAAAGAAATACCTTTCTAAGACTCTCCAGAAGAATTACCTAAAGAAGTCAAGATAGAAGGGAAAACATACAAGACTGATGAGTGGATGAACACACCTTCGTCAATTCTCGATGCGATACCCAGGCGTCTACATCTTCAACCAGACCATCCTCTCACCATCACACGGAAGTTGATTGAATCTCGGTTTCCTGGATACAAGACACACAACAACCTCTTTCCGATTGTTACCACTGGGCAAAATTTCGACTCGCTTGGTTTTCCACTGGATCACATTGGGCGAAGCAGAACAGACACGTACTATCTAAACAAAGAAACCGTATTACGAACACACACTTCTGCTCACCAAGCCGACACATTCCGCAACAATGAAAGCGAAGGGTACCTCATCAGCGCAGATGTTTACAGGAGAGATGCCATTGATCGAAGTCACTATCCTGTTTTCCATCAGATGGAGGGAGCGCGGACATGGGATCGACAGCAAGCTGAGAAAGAAGGCAAGAATCTTGCCGATATAATCTGGGAAGACGTAGAAAAGATACCCAAGCACGACATTGCTGTTGAAGATCCAAATCCGACTTACCATGCGGAACGCAACCCACTACAGGCAGGCCATTCACCAGAAGAAGTCGAAGCCATTGCCGCACACCTCAAACGCAGTCTCGAAGACATGGTGGTGACTATCTTCAACGCCGCAAAATCCGCTTCAGATGCGGAGACTTTCGGTGAGCCGCTCAAGGTGCGCTGGGTCGAGGCCTACTTTCCCTTTACCTCGCCATCATGGGAACTAGAAGTCTTCTGGCAGGGCGACTGGCTCGAGGTACTAGGTTGCGGTATTGTCTCTCAACCTATTCTAAACAACGCCTCTGTGCCCAACCGCATAGGATGGGCGTTCGGACTGGGTCTCGAACGTATCGCCATGCTCCTCTACTCTATTCCCGACATTCGCCTATTCTGGTCAAAGGACGAGCGCTTCCTGTCGCAGTTCAGCGAGCAGAAATCCATCACACCATTCGTCCCCTTTAGCAAGTACCCGGAATGTTTCAAAGATGTTAGTTTCTGGTTGAGAAGCAGTTCAAGCGCTGCTGGCGGTGCTGCAGCTACGCACCCGCCTACATCAGCAGCATCACCAAGTCAGGTCGTGTCACCCGAATCGCCCTCTGGCGCTTCGGCCCCTGGCACACCGACTGCGCCCGCGGCCCCTGTCCCAACATCAACCCCTTCGTTCCACGAAAACGATGTCATGGAAATTGCACGCGAAGTCTGCGGCGATCTCGTCGAAGACGTCCGTCTGGTAGATGAGTTTGTGCACCCCAAGACGGGGCGCAGGAGCATGTGCTACCGCATCAACTACCGCAGCTTGGAGCGCACACTTACCAATAAGGAAACAAACGAGATGCACGAGCGACTGAGGGCTTTGATTGTCGCGCGCTTAGGCGTCGAGCTTAGGTAGGGGCAGCAGAAAAGACGGCCTTGGAAACACTCAACGGCGAATTCGTGTTTGACTAGGTGTAACATGTCTTGTAGTTCAACATAGTCCACTCTTCTTGCTTCTTTTTCCCAAAGAAAACGGGTCACAAATGCTTCTATAGAACAAAGTTCCTCAGTCTAAATCTTTTTATAACTCCAAAAGTAATAGCAAAGGAAAAAAACATGGTTGTGGACCAAACCGTTGAGAATGTGGCTGCCATGTGGCAAGTGGGCATGACACTTGTTCCTGACTATCTTTCTCCAAAAGAAAACGACAGTACACAGAAAAATCAAAGTGATCGTAGCGGTGCTGATCTGTGACACCAGCGAAGGGAAAAGCAAATGAGTCCAGCCTTCCCCTCGGAACAACGGAGAAGCCCCCCCCTCCCCCGGAAACAACGCAAAAGGAAAAGGAAAAAGAGATAAGAAAGTTTGAGCTAGCCCTTGGCGAGGCTTGCATCATACACAATTTACACCCTACTGGCAAATCCCCTACTCGGCAGTCGAGAAAATGCGGCGTTCGGCTCTTATCCGTAACCCACGAGTTACGTACCCGTACCGGCAAGTAGCAGTAGTAGCCCCCCCCCTCCCCTCTAACCCCGCATTGCCCAACCCAAGCACACCGAAAAATTCCCCAACACGCCAAAAAAGAAACAGGATAACTCCTTGCAACACGACATCCAGCGCTTCCGCGCTTCCCCTTCCCCCAATACCAGGCAACCCCCGGGCAAAAAACCCCCCCGCGTCCTTCGGCGCCTACAACCCATCACTACTACCAACTTACCATCTCTAACACTTCCCCCCCTCTCCCCCTTCCCACGTTACAACACGGGGACTAAAACACAAACAAAATCCCTAAGCCCACCCGCTCCACAAAAAAAAGCAAACCCGCCTTGCCTACTTTTTTACCGTACTAGTACACATACACACACCTCGGACTCGACACACACGCCATTTTCTGAAACACGAACATGCTGCACGCGCTTTTCGCACGTGGGAAATGATTGCTGCAACGTGTGGGTCCCCGCCAGAGTGGTTGTAAGTTACTCTATGCCAAACATATGCAAGCACGGAGCGTTTTTTTTTGGAGCGGGGGGAGGGGGGCCAGAAATGTGCATTGTACGGAACGAAAAATGGTCGAAAGGTCGGCGACTTGGAAGGGGGGAAAGGGGGGGAGGGGTAAGGATTGGCGCAGGTATGGATCATGTAGGTGTTATGTAGGTATATGTAGGTGTCAGGGTTATTATTATTATTTTTTGGGGGGGAACTTGGCTGGTTGGAGAAGGAAGAGATGTGAGGGGAGAGGTCCGTTTGTGTGGTTTGCGGTTGTGGACCCCGCAGTTTGCCCAGCTGTTGCCCAGAGTTAGAATGCCGGGGGTTTTTCTTTTTGTTTGGGAAGGAGGGGGTAGGGAGGACTGCAGCAGGAAAGACGGAAGAGGTTTGGATTCCGGTATATTTTGGTTTTAGCCTTGTGTGGTTGGTAAGTGTGTGTGTGTAGTCAGTTATGTATGTTCAACGGTGAATCTGCATGCGCATGCGCTTATCGTGCAGCATCTATCTTCACCCTCCTGTTACATAATTGCATCGGTGTAACTTGCTCGTATTTAGGCAAGGCGAATAGAAAGAGAGAAAAAGATGGAGAGAATGTAAAACACGTATTTCCTGTTGCGCATAGATGCAAGCTACACACTTACTAATTAGCCTGGACGGACACGCCCGGCGTCGCCGCCAGAAAAGAAACCTATTTCGCAAGCTCGTCCGGTAATGTGGCGGTATACTTACAGACTTACTACACGATAGCTGGTGCAGTCGTGCGCGTTGACCTACCGGTGTGGAATGTCGAACCAACAAGATAAGCAATTAGTGCAGACATACATCCAATCTTAAGCCTCGTTTTGCACGAATAAATATGACGGGCCCAACCTAGTTTTAAATTTAGCAGCCGCATCGTTTTTAGTTGCAATTAGGTTCTTGCAAAAAAACAGCCAATGGACATAAAACAATCTGACAGGTCCTTTTCTTTTCCACTTTTCTTTTTACTTTAGCTAAGGCCGAAAAAGTGTAAATTACTGGGGTGAAGCGATTCCTTCTGGCTTGACAGCTGGGGAATCTCGATTGCCGCAAAAGTTTCTTCTATCAGACATGTGTGGGCTTGTTAGTACTACACCATGTAAAATGTTTCTTTCTCTTCAGAAGGACCTGCTGCTTGCTTAGGGAGAGAGTATTCTGCGTATGCCGAAAAAGCTTTCAATCACTTGATATCTAGGCATGACGTTTAGGGAAAGAGAAAGTAGAACGTGCGAACACCTAATTAGGCATGTCCTTCATTTATTTGGTTCATATACTTAGATGAATGAGGCTGATAATGCAGCTTTGAGGTCTGGGCGAACAGGGTGTTCCCGGTTCGACGCCTTGGAACTTCAGACCAAAGCCATGGCAGGCTGGCGCGTTGCAGCGCCTTCTTGTGCGGCCTTGAATAGTTTGTTCTTTTGGAAGGGATCAGGCCGCAGGCCCGGTAGGCTTTAGCTCTTCGGCCCGTTTCTACAAAACGAATCTGTCAGTAGTGCAATTCCAATTTTTTGCAGTGTCTTGGGAGTAGAGTAAAACTGGCTTTGCGTTCGTATATCGGTGATTCTAGTTATTCCCAATTACCATCAAGCTAGCAGCATCTTCGTATTTACAAACCGGCAACTACCATCGAGCATGCACGGTAGTTGCCTCACTATGTGGTCCAGATGTTAGTTGCATATGCAAGGGTCTCCTTGTGACAACCAATACTAAGGCCGAGTGGGATTGATTGCACACAACAAGGCCGAACTTTTTGAAAATTGGAGTCAGCTCAAGGACGGGCAACCGCGTGCTTCCGAAGAGTAAGTACCGTGTAAGCACAGGAACCAAAGCATATCCGGGTATGAACACTGTTCCATAGTTTGATTCTGTGCAATATCAACCCGTGTGGTTGATTGGCGCTAGTGTGCAAAGGACTGAATTCCTGCAAGCTGAATCCTCGACGCAAGGTCGTGACACGACCATATACATGCGGTGCGGATGCGACACTTGGGCTTGCTGTGTGGGGAAGATGAAGGAGTGTGAGCCGTGTTTGTCCGGCGATGGGACGGTTGGAGTTAGAAGGTTAGAGATTGAAATAAAGGTGCACGGCAGTACCCGATGGGATAAGTAAGCGATAGTAAGCGATAAGCCGCACCCCGTGTGTTACAGCCTGCGATTAGCTTACACACAGCTCCTTCTCATGTCGGTGAAAACTGCAATCTGCAGATACCGCAGATTGGCGGACGAAGGATTTGAGATATTCTAAGAAGCGCCACGCCGGCTCCCGTTGACATGGTGGGTATGATGGCTGGCTGACCACGTGGAGTGGATGCCTTGAAACCAACTGCGGGATCTAGAATCGCAGCTGGACAAAGTCCCCTCTGCCGAACCTGTGCCAGACCTGACAAACAATTTATAACGTGTATTACTGGTAACAATCATGTGACCAGGGCCCAGCAATGGTGGTCAACGGAGGGCCAGAGTGCGATTTTACCGGATAGATGCAATATTCAATGTGAATCTACGTCTTGCTCGTTACAGAATCATTATCACAGCAACAGAGAGGATGTCGGGCCGAGGTCATGAGGCAGAAGATATCTTGGCAGACATTTGGGAGAGGCGGTGAGCCCAATGGTTTTTAGTAACAGTGGTTGGGTCTCGCTGCAGTCGTAACCTTGCATGCCTACATACATATGTACATAGGCGTGCAAAATCTAGTGGCAACGAAACCAGATCAACGGCGCCCCTGCAGCTTCAAAATGAGGGGTAGGAGAGCACAAGCTCAAAGGACTTGGTTCCGACTCATGTGTACTGTGTGTATTATGATATAGTCAACTGTCATATGTAGTGTATACACTACTCCAAGTGGGCCAACGTCGGTCGACGTGACCTTGAACATGAATTTAGTCGGCCGGCTTGACATCGCGGATCGTTTCCAGAGTCGATGGCGAGTTGTGGCAAGTGGAAAGGATGAGCGTTATAGCAACACGTGTGTGGGTACCTGGCACGGCGGGCAGGTTATCCCACAAGGTCGGCCAATAAACCGTGGATTTTTGTGGCTCAACACACTCAAAGTCGCATGGTCATACTATCATGACACCCTTATAATCAGGTTTGCATCGTAGTGTTTCATCGCCATGCAATTCCACTACCAGACCGGTGCATGTAGTTCCGCATGCTCTGTTTAATCACCAAGGGCGATTTTTTCCCTCGACGGGTGCCATGCGATGTGCTTGTGGAGAAGTGGAGGGATGTACATAATCTCCATGGGTGCAGATGCAGGCCTATGTGACGACAATCAGCAATCAGGCGGCAGTCGAACAGGAAATGATGCTTGGCGTGGTGGTCGAGCTGTTTGGACATGACGAAAGCTGTTCCTTTGCTGCGAACCTACTGAGTGTGGCGAGATGCAGGCTCGGCTCAGAAGAGTCAAGAGAGGGCGGGATGAAACCCAGATGTCGTTTTGTCGGGGAAGATGACCCGGCCCATGTGGAAGCAGCAAGACGAACCGCGCACTGATTTGCTTTTGACAAGGAACAGGAAAAGCACTAGCCGGATTAGACGGACATCGGATGATGTCGACTTTGCGCAAAATATTTGTGGGATCTCGTGCCGCAATCCTTTGGCCAGAGGGATGCGTCGCGCATTGCTTGGCGTGACCGTCGAGAGCGCTCTGCATGCGTGCAGACAGGATGCGGGAATTAGCAAGTGAAGCTGTAGGTATAGGTCCAGCACATATGAACGTGACGACGCTTTATCGTTGACGATGACGAGTGGTTTGATTGTTACATTGCAAGTCACAGGTGGCAAGGGCGAGTGCATAATGTTTCGTGGGGGTTGCTGATGCCTGGCCACACAGTGTTGGTTTTGCAGCCACCGCACGAGCCAGCGTGGCAGGTCGGAGACAAAGCAGAGTTGGAGTAGGTATTTGCTTGGCCCATGACCACAATGGGCCCACTGATAGAGAAGACTCGAGTGGGCAAGTATGTACATACGTACGTACTACGCCTATAGCACATGAGTGCACATCAAACCGGGCAACAGATTTGGGCGGGGGCGTGTGCGGGCCGGTTCTGCAGAGCACTCAGGCACAAGCAAGGCGGGTTCCTGTTTTGTAGAGTATGTACGTATGTACTTGTGTAGAGCATGCAACAAAAAGATGGCTAGGCATGGGTGGTGGCATGGCGCAAAGTTTAGAGATGGCGGAACCAGTGTCGAGGGTCCACACAAAGCTTGGCTGCTGGCGACCCCCATGCAGCCGTTCAGCGGAGTCGGCAAGCCACATGCCGGGGGCTTGATTGGGAAGGGAAGTGGCCATGAGCAGACGCAAAGGGGGTAGCGGGGGCTGGTGACGAGAGACATGCAGGAGGATGTGAGGCCAGCTTGTAGTATAGGTGGGAACTGATCGTCTTTACCGGCCGCGAGTCGGGTGCGGACAAGCGATGGTCGAGTTGCTGTATACGTGATGGTACAGTGTGCAGACAAAGGGAGGTTTGATGAGGGTGGTGCCGGTCGAGTAGAATGGGCAGGCTCGGTTGGAGATGAAAGTGGAGGAGTATCGCGGACATTGTTATTAGCCATGGCCATGGCGTGAACATGACTGCTAAGTGCGTTGATACGAGCAGGAGCGGCAGCAGCAGCAGCAGGAGACATGGCAATGGTGTGTGGACGGTGGAGGCGGAGGTGGTGCAGCAGCATCAGTCGCACGTGAGGAGAGGTGTGTGGCTCGCCGTTGCATACACGACGACGGCATGCATGTGGGGTTAGTTAGTTGCCCTCGAGCAGCGCCCAAGAGGCTAAAGGATGGAGGAGGATGCCGTGCAGGTGGCCGCGCCGACGGGCTCGAGGCTCCAGCGCTCTCAGCAGCTTGGAGGAGCGGGCAGCGTGGTGTCACGACGGGCAGCGATAAGCTTTGCGCGCCGTCTAGAAAATTCGTGTGTAGTCTTGACGAGTCGAGTCGAGTCTTGTCGAGTCGTGGTTGTGCCTGGGTATGCCGCAATGCCCCCGTCCAAGGTGCCGGCTGGGATTGCCACGAGGCCCCGATTCCGCATCCAATAGACATGGGCTGTCTGGCCTGCTAAGCCTGCTAAAACGTTCGCTTCCCACGCCTGCCTCGTCGTTCCTGACGCGCGCACCATTGCTCCTTCCCCCCCCCCCAAGCCCCAGCCCGCTGCCTCCAACGCTCCTGCTGCGTGCGACCAGAGGGAAGGGGCGTCCCAGAACGGGTGTGCCCCAGGACGGCCACTCGCCCACACACCACACACACACACTCACATTCACATTCACACACACATACACTCACGCACATGTACATGCACATACTCACACACTCACACACACGCCTCCATATGCCCAATTCATCCATCCATTCATCCCTTCTCCCATACACCCACCCATCCACCCACGCCAACTGACACACGATCACGGCCGTCGAGCACAGCACAGGGCACATGTTTTCCTTCTTTCCCGACTCCAAGACCATCGCAGCATCGCTTGCTCGCCTGCCCATAGCCCATGACCTGGTCTCCTCGGCATATTGTCGTCAGAGCCACTAGGTCGGTCGCCGCCAGCTGCCTCAGCCTGTTTGCACCACGTCGGCCGGCTTTCATGCCGCTTTGGTCGACAACCCCCCCACCTCGCAGCAACCGTCCGTCGTCTGCTGCACACACAGCGGCTTTGCAAGAGTCTGACTAAGTGGCTCAACGTCGTCGACCGCGGCAGGCGGCCGTGCTGCCACTGCTGCTGGGACTGGTGCTGGTGCTGGTGCTGATACCTACTTAGTGTGTACTACGGCTGGTACTTACTGCGCTACTCCATGTACACTCTGGCACCCTCATCCATCCATCATCTGCTTAGCACGTACATGCAACCCGGCCCTATCCGCCCGTATTTCACTACATGCCTCGTTCCAAAAAAGACACGGCCCTCTGTCACGGCCCTTACGGCCTTTGGTCGATGGCGGTGCCTGGTGCCGTGCTGCACATCGTGCAGATCACCCTGGGCCTTAATTGCGTGACGATATAGCCTTCCCCACGAATCGCCAGACATGCGAGGTTAGGTGCTCGTTTCATCCCAACGCCCACCAGGCCCACCTGGGACGCGCCGCCGACAGCCTAGACACGGACGCTGGTATTGGTACACTGCGCCGTAGCAGGGGCCTTGTTCGTTGCTGCACTACTAGCGCCTGCGACCTACCCTTAACCCGCTGCAGTGCCTTTTTTACCACATATGTATTACATGCAGGGAAAACCCTCATGTTTGACGTGCCCGCCTTCCGAGTCTCACCAACCTTGTACTTCAGACAAGTGAGCCACAGCGCTCAAACGCCTGCCATGACACACATAGCAAACTGCATGCGCTCCGATCCCGACCACACCTCTGTTTATATAACGCTGGAAACATCCTCGTCCCCAATGGTACGTCGTCCCGCTCCACTCGCCCCTCCACTGTCCCATCCCAAATGAATTACCACCTGCCCCGGCGCTCTCGCTCACTCAGAGATCTTCAGGCCCCCCAAGATTCTCTCTCGCCAGCCACCACCCAGGCAAAGAGTCCACCACTGTCTTCTCAACCTCCCACCCAACAGGCCCCATCCAAGTACCAACTTTGGCTCTCAGCAAAGAGTCCAGCCCTCGGTTCAAAGACTAGCCACTCAGCAGACAGGGTCGCTGCCCTTGCTGCTGGCCGCTCCCCGACTTCGCTCAGTGACACTGCTCTCCTCTCCGAGAACAGCCTGCCTTTTTGGCAACGAACCGGCTCCCTATCACGACGACGCAAAGTCAGTGTGCCTGAACTCGGAAGCACCATGACAACCGTCCAAGAGATGCCCCTTGATTCACGTAAGTCCAAATGCTGCTTCTCTTGGCTGTCTGTCCAATTGCTGACGTTTGGTTTCAGCAACCATCCCGGGAAGACCACCTCTCCGCAAGCCTTCATATGAAGTGCTTGGCCACGAGCGCTCCTGCAGTGCTCCCGGTACTAACTGGCGCTCCGGTCCTTTCGGCGATGCCATGATGGATTGCATTACCGGCCCTTCTCCTGTCCAGACTCAGTACACTACCGCTCCGCTTACTTCAGAACTGCCCGCCATCTCCGGCAGGCCGCTTTCTCCCATCCTAAGCCCCGGTGCGACACCTAGGCCTTTGCTCAAACTTGAGACGGACAACATTGTTGAAGAAGACTGGGAAATTCCGCCCCAAGTGCCTCCAAAGTCTCCTGTTACCGAGCGCAAGGGCTCTCCCACCCCCTTGATACTCAACTCAAAAGCAAGCAAATCACAACTTACCACTCCCGCGTCGATCAGCTCAGGCGGAGGTACTCCGTTGAGTGCCATTGACCTCCGACGATCGCCAAACGGCAGCATGGGCCTTCCCACACCACCATCTACCTTCACCAATCCCTTTTATGCATCTTCACCTGCATCAGCCCGAGGTTCACCACGAACAGAGAGAAGAGATCCCATGGCTACACAAACCTTTCCTCACAACCGCAACATGTCGGAGTCATCCATCATGGACCGAGGTCGGCCAAAATGCCGTAACAGCAAAAAAGACCGCCCGCGTGCCATGTCTGAAACCAATGGCCCCGAGGCTATACCTGACTCTTGGAAGCTCCCCCAAGGCATGCGCGTATCTGAGGCTTCAAGGCGAATCAGTGATGCCGACAAGAGGCTGCTCCATAAGCAAGCCTACGATCAGGCAGGCAACTTTGAAGTCCTCAACAAACGTGATGTAGCATCGTTGTCAAGAGTGAGTTGTTTACAAACCGTGTGTAGACGAACTAGCACTAAACAAAATGACAGGAACTCCGAGCACTTGATGAACGCTGCGATTATCTCCGCAAGACTTACAAGTCGCTGCGCGCAGGTCGCCAGAAGCTTCATGGTCGCATGATTGCCTATCTGCGACGTGGAGAAACAGTTATCTTCTCGCGCGAATCCCTACTCAAGCAAGAAGAGGCGCTAGCCGAGTTGGATGTGTCCATCGACGAGTTCATCCAAAAACTGGAGCAAGCCGAAAACCGCCGCCTTCGCTTACGCCAAAAGCTGCTTGAGCACGTGGCTGCTGCTATCGTCCTTGATCCTAGCTCCCGTGATCAAGTCGCCGAAGCCACTCCTCCGCGGAGTCCTGTAAAAATGGATAGCCCTGCGCGATCCCAGCGAAAGGAGACTGAATCTATCAAGATCTACGCTGATGGACACGTTCTCAACCTATTTTCGGACATTGAGAAAGCGATCGGCAAGATGTGTGAACAAACTTGCTAGGACGCGCACACTACACACCGCCCAATGGCACCTTCGATCATGCCTCCCTCGCAGGTGGCATACCCTTAATTATACCGCTTTCGTCACACGATTTCCTATGTTTGTACCATAACGGCCTTTGGAACTACCCTCCCTAATACTTTCTTCACTCCTTGTTGGACTGGTTCGACTTTTTCTTTTCTTTTTTGTTCAAACGTTTAGCGGCAAGATTTACACGCCAACGTTTCGCCTTCATTCTTCACGCTGGCATGTATACCCAATTTTTTGCACATTATCTTTTGCACATTACTTTCTATACATTCTGGTGTTCTTTTTTTTTCTTTTGCACATCAATACTTTCTCTAACTTTGCCATTTCGAAAATGGCGACGAGTTTGTCAGGGGCTTGTTTCGTGTTTGGAGCTTGTGGGCGCGGAAGCGTGGAGCTTGGACGACGGCAGACGGGTGTCATTTTGGGACACCATACATGTATTGAGCCACAACCCCGCATGGGTTCATGAATCGAGAATCGTACGCATCGTGAGCCAAGCGTTATTGCCTCTCGTCAAACATGCAAACATGCACTTGTGGCGCTGTGCCTGTTCGAGGCGAGGCACGAAACACCGCCGTGCCGAAAGCCCCCCCTTTCGACGTCACAGGGAAGGAGCACCATCGCGTCGGCAGGTCGATTTCTCGTCACATTTCAGCAGCCACTCAGGTCCAAACTCTTTGTGATAGACAGCAACTGTAGCAATACTTATCGCATGACCGGCTTGTAGAGACAGCCAGTCATAGCAGGCAGTAAGTACATAATGCACGGGATGGTTTCACTGAAATACGTTCCCAACACGATGAGGCTCGAGGCCTTGGCTATAAGGGCTATAAGATAATCGCTATAGCCCGTTTCAACGGCGCCGTGACGTTGTAGGAAATGTCGGTAAAACGGAAATATGGTGGGGCAGGAATTTGTAAAAAAGGAGACTCTGCGAAAAGGGAACTTGCATGGACTACTAGGCTACTACATGCAAGAAAAACCGCTATTCTATGCACTTACCTACAGCATTGACATTAACTTTCATGCGTGCCTGCTTACCTTCGTATATAGTTGCCACATGGCTGCTGACATCAGATGTGGATTGTTTTCCGGAAAGACCTTATACGTCTACGTAGGCCCTGGCCTAGGTGTAGAGAGCACCACCCAGCAAACAGAGAGGCAGCCGTGTGCCGCTTCCCGAGTTTCAGAACAAGACTAAAAGCGGGCAAACTCGCCTTGGCCCAACGAAGCGGCACACCCTTCAGCCACCAGACGCGGATGGCCATGGAAATGCTGACCGAATGTTATGTAAATTGGGTCGCAATACATTTTGCCACGGTTTGAAAGTTTCGAGATGCTGCTGAGGACGACGGGGTTTGTAATCGCGGGGGTTCATCTATCGTCGGCCGCGACCACATGGCCGGCTCTCCCCTCGGCGGCACCTTTCTCCGCATGGCCCGTGCCCGCCATTTTGTGCGAAAAAGTTTGGCCTTCGATGACAACGTGACATAACTTAGACGGCAGCATTCTCTTTCGCCGTCATTACCACCACCATGGCTACTAACAGTATCAAGTTGCTGACCGGCAACAGCTATCCCGAGCTTGCCCGCCTTGTGGCTGATCGGTACGTTCAAGTTCTTGCTTCCCGCTGCTTCTTGGACTACAACTAGGCGTGGACACTTGCGGCCATCTCTATGAGACCAGTGCAGATCAGGCATGGATGCAACAACAACGACGCAATATATTTTTAAATCCGACTTGCTTCTGTGCGAGCAAGAAAAAGAAAACGCTCCGACATTGATGAAACATGTTGGTGCAGCGTCACTAATGTCGTCACAGACTAGGCATAGAACTCACCAAAATTCTCGTACTCCAATACTCGAACCAGGAGACTTCCGTGACCATTGGCGAATCTGTGAGAGATGAAGATGGTATGGACTGCTTTTTCTTGTGCAGCATACCCATGTCTAGCGAGCCTCAACTTACGATGTTATAGTCTTCATCTTGCAGTCCACGCCACCAGGCGATATCAACGATGCTCTGATGGAACTGCTCATCATGATCAACGCCTGCAAGACGGCGTCTGCCCGTCGCATTACGGCAGTGATTCCAAATTTCCCCTATGCTCGTCAAGACAAGAAAGACAAGTCTCGAGCACCAATCACAGCAAAGCTCATGGCGAACATGCTTCAGACCGCCGGCTGCAATCATGTCATCACAATGGACCTCCATGCTAGCCAAATTCAGGGCTTTTTCAACGTCCCTGTTGACAACCTGTACGCTGAGCCAAGCACGCTTCGCTGGATCCGCGAGAATCTAGACGTCAAGGACTGTGTCATTGTCAGCCCAGATGCAGGTGGCGCAAAGAGGTAAGATACTCCTGATGTTAGCGTCGAAAGCCTCAAGCAGTTCATGGTGCAAACTACCTAAGCGAGCCATTTTGCAAGGATACTGTGTGATACACCAACACACCACTGCATCATGTGGGCGGGAAGAACAAACCCTCCTTCTTCTGCCCCTTGTTAGACTCCAGTGAATAGCAGTGCTGACCAATGGTAGGGCAACTTCGATAGCAGACGGCTTAAATCTTGGATTTGCTCTCATTCACAAGGAGCGAACTCGCCCCAACGAAGTTTCACGAATGGTGCTGGTCGGAGATGTACGCGGCAAGACGGCAATTTTGGTTGATGACATGGCCGACACTTGTGGCACACTTGTCAAAGCAGCAGACGTGCTGATTTCCGAGGGTGCCAAGGATGCGCTTGCCATTGTC